GCCCGATGCGGGACTCGATCCCGGGACTCCAGGATCATGACCTGAGCCGAAGGCAGTCGCTTAACCAACTGAGCCACCCAGGCGCCCGAAAAAGCAGTTCTTGAAGTGCATTTTTCTCCTGCTCTTGTGAGCATAGAAGACACCTTAACGGGCTTCTATACCAGGAAGGCTTTTGAAAGAAGAGGGACTGCTAGTTCCCACATACTCACTGTGTAGATTGTGTCCCCCTCCTTTTCCCTTACCAGATGTGCAGTATGTGAAGCTCCGGCCGTGGTGATTGCAGTTCACAGTCAGACCATCCAGATTCCCCATTGTCCTCAGGGATGGGATTCTCTTTGGATTGGCTATTCCTTCATGATGGTATGAAATACTCTTCCTTGTCTTTGTCATCGTAGCTGACTGTCCATAATATCTGTATATCTTCCCAATACAAGGAATCCCTGTCATGTGCATGAACCTCAAATAGCTTCTGTCCAAATATTGTGTCCCCCTTCACATATTTTCTGGAATATATTTTCATAATCTGCCTGTTGCTTCTGTTGAGTACCCTTGGTGTTGATACTGTTCTCTTATCTCTTGCCCTAGATCCTTCACTGGATTTGAATTTTTGGTCATATTTAGCACGTATCTTTGGGTATTCACTAAGGTATCAGTGGCACTTTTTCCCTTATCTTTTCTAGCACACAAGCGCAGGAGCAGAGGGCTCAGGTCAAGCCTTGGCCTCCCCTGGTTCCTGCTTGGAAGAGTTTCGTTCAGCTCCGTTCATTGAATGTCATGGGCGGGGTACCTGCAACTACTATGCCAACTCCTACAGCTTTTGGCTAGCAACTGTAGATGTGTCAGACATGTTCAGGTAAGGTCCTTATGGCTTTAGTTCAGTCCTAAGCTTCCTTCAGAAGTACTAGGGAAGAGAGAAGCAATTCATGGATGGTTTATACCCAACAAATGTTAAAGATTTAGTGGACTGTTTTTTCATTTGTGCTTGTTCTTTTCATATACTTGATTCAGGACAGAAAAACAGACTTGGCTAACGTTAGGTATGTGTATTTTCAGATGGCTTGGTAGTAGTAATCCTTCGGTAGCAAACACACAAAGCAAGAAAAGGTTATGTGACCTGCTCAACAATAAGTGAGCTGCTCAACTAGACTGAGGCCACTCCAGGAATTGAAGATTGAAGCTGTGATCTATGATCCCTGCCTCAGTCCAGTGATCTCTTTTCCCATGATGTTTTCTTCTCTTTTTTTTTTTTTGAGAGACAGAGAGCATGATGTGGGAGGGGAGGGGGAGAAGCAGGAGAGGGAGAAAGTGACTCTTAGGCAGGCTCCATGCCCAGCACAGAACCCAATGCGGGCCCCATCTCACAACCCTGAGATCGTGACGTGAGCCGAAATCAAGAGTTGGACACTTAACCAACTGAGTCATGAAGGTGCCCCTTTCCCAGGATGTTTTCAATGCTCTCATCCAAGTGTCTGAATGAGTAAGACCACATATAGTGTATGTACTTCAGGATAGTTCAATCTATTGGATTTTTTTTTTTGGTTTAAATTAATTTGTATATATTGCTTCTTTTGAGTTATCATTACTTGATATTTTTCTTACAATTATCTTTTTGCATTTCATATGCATATGTTTTATCATTTATTCATCATCAGTTGCCCAGATCTCCCTCATTCTAGGACTGTTAGAAAAATGTGTAAGAGATAAAGAGGGAGAGACAAATAAAGGTAATAAAGAGAAGAGTCACAAAATTAGCTATGACCACTAATGGCTCTTTGGCCATGCCAGTTACTGCACTAGATCACATTGCTCAAAAGTTAATCATTAAGTCGTAGGAGAGCTGCTTAAGCATGAATAGGATGTATGGGTGTGAATTTGAACCAATAATAGAATTGAAAAACCAGAAAAGGCTAATTTGATCATCCTGTTTCTTATTTCCCAGCAAACCTCAGTCAGAAACGCTGAAAGCAGGAGACTTGAGGACACGTATTAGCCGATGTCAAGTGTGCATGAAGAGGACATAACATTTTGAAGAATTCCTTGTGTGTTTTTAAATGTGATATATATACATATATATATATATAAAATCCCCAGGATGCAACGTCTCACTCCTCCCAACTTTACCACTGCTGCCACCAATGGTGCTACTATACACGGCCAAGAGGACATGGAGATTCAGATGTACCTCAACAATATGCCAGAGCGAGGTCTCTCTTAGGTTTCTATGAACGAAATAAGGAAGTGAATTTACTTTTTGGGTCCAGAATGACTTTCCCCAAGGATTATAAGATGAAGATTATATATTTTGCCCAGTAACTTCAAACAGCACGTTAAAAATTCAGTTAAGAGAAGAATCACACTGAGTAAAATAAAAGACTGCAGTTTGGGGGAAGAATTATTTTTCATGGTGCTACTAATCCTACTGTATCCCAGGTTTTTAATATAAAAGTGTTAAGCTTATTTTGCTCTGTAAGTAAAGAATGTGTATATTGTGTAAACAGCCTTTTAGTTCAAAGTGTTGACTCATTTAGATGTGACCTGACATGTATCACTCTTCAAAGACAACCGAGGCAAACCTAGAATACAGACAAAAAAATTTTGTATCCATGTTTATCAAAGTGAAAGAATTTATATTCTTGCATCAAGTTACTACTGAGAGTAAATTTATTTTGAGTTCTGTCCCCTAAGTTCTTATTTGACTTTTTTTTTTAAAAAAATAGGTCATTTTAGAATTTTAAATGGTCATGTTACATACCAAATTATAATATCTAATAGAACAATTCCTCTTTTGCTATATTCTTCAAGATCTCAATACCAGATGCCCCCTTTTTTAATGTTTCTTGTTTTTGCTCATCCCTAACTAGGCAAAGTCCTCCCATATAATTTTGAGAAACAAAAAAAATGATAATTTGTTCCCTGTGCTTCTTCTGTAAGAATTATTCTCCTGTGGTCTCTGCTTGTACAAGAACTGGGAAGACAATACTTGGTTAGTCTTCTCTCTTCAGTTACAAAGCCAGTTGATGTTTCTTCCTCTTTTTTATTTTAAACATTTTATTATAAATAGTCCTAGAATACCTTATTTCCCTAGTTGTCCTCTTTTCACTTCATGTTTTTTAACTCACCATTATCAATTTAATTAAAGATATCCTATGTTGTAAGAATGGATTGTTGTGTATCTCTTCAGACTACGTGTAAAAATCTGCTCATTTACAGATGGACTACACATCTGCACATCAACAAGTAGTCCCTTCTCAGAGAATCATTTAGAGCAGTTCCAAAGAGGTTTCTGCAGACTTTGATCACTCATAGCTGACAGAAGACATAGAGTAATGTAAACGTTTTCTAATAAACAGAACAACCCATTGGAAAGTACTTTTGCAATAATAAATGTATTAACAATATTGTATTGTTGGCTGAGAAAGGAAGCAGAACAACTTTTTATTTAGGGAAGAATTCATTAATAATGTAAAAGCAGATTAGTGAGTTAATATTCCTGATGATTAAGAATGAACACATGTAGCTCTCTAGTTGAGAACTTGCTAAAAGTAAGAGGCATTAAAAGACTCTATAATAAAATTTGTATTTCAGTTAAAATATGAAACAACCAAAATAATTTTGAGAATTTTAGACCCTAATATGAACCCATGTAAAAGCTAAAGCTTAGAGTCTGTAGTTATAGAAGTTAGATTCTAAACAATGATAAGTGCTTAATAATACTGTTGATTTCAAGGCTAGGCATGTGCAAATTCTAGCTTTTTTTTTTTCCATATAGCCATGTGACTGAAAACAGTAATGGGTAATTGTAAATGAAAACACCATATTGCATCACATAGATTTTTCTGCATGAGGAATACCCTTAAAGGTTGTTCCTGGGGTTACAGTTGCAAGCACTAATTTCAGAGATTTTGCTGTTTGTTGCTCTCCCTCTCATTTTTATCTTGTTGAAAACCTTGCCTCAGAAAGAACCTAACATTTTAATAGTTGAATGTGTAGGTAGTTCATGTGTTTCGTAACCCCCCAGCTATCCCCAGTCCTGCTTTGTTGTTTAAAGTACATGAATTCAATCCATTCCAGGACCTTAATGTTGTTGACCCTCCCTTGCCACTGAATAGTCAACAATTATTCTGATGTAACTGCTCTGGTAGTTACCTGTAGTGAGTTTTGTAGTCATACATGCCTAATGGTTTTCCCACGTAAGCAGGCAATGGATGAGCTGTTCTTCCTTAACCAGATACAAGTAGTTGTATCTTCCTTAACCAGATACAAGTCCTGAATTCTTGAACATCTACAAACCAAGTGATACACATATTTTTGGTGTTACAATCATCACTTCCAAGCTTCCAAAGAGGTTCTGTTGGACAGTCTGTGATTGTACCATGTATTTTCTCACTTGGTCAAATTTGAAGAACCCTTTTTTTCTTGCGGTGTCCGTGAAATTCTTTGCCTCAATTGGCATGGTTAATTGAAAACTCACTGGTTACACCAAGCCATCAGAAGGTTTATTCATATGTTAATCACAAGAGGGCACTATTGCCTATAAAATAAATAAGCATGAGTAATGATTTGTTGAGCTCATTGTTGATGGTGGTGGTGAAGTTGTCGGAAGCTCTGCCTCCGGATTCTTGTTTTAAGCTTCATGTATTCTTTCTTCCTCGTAAAGATCAACAGCAAGTATTTTAAGAGGTGTCCCAGTTTCCCAATGTCTGCATCCAAAAGAAGGGACAGCTTTGCTATGAAAGATTTTCTTAAGAGCCTGATTAGGAATTGGCCCTGGTAGTACTTCCCATGCCTCTCAACGCAGAAGCAAAGTGCAGTCACTTTTGTTTGGCCAACACTTCAGTTGGCTTCTTTAGCAGAGCAGCTCTGTTCTCATGCTGCACTATACAAACACCCTCATCCCTAGGCAGCTCCAAAATCAATTGAATAATATTTATAAATCATACATCATTTATTTTAAAGCAGTGGTTTCTAGAGTATAGTCAGGTTGTTTGGAAGGTTTCTATGGTGGAGGTACTCATAAGCTGGGACACTGAAGGAATAAATCCAGATAGGCCTGTCTTCCAAGTTCAACAACAACAAACGTTCACTAGATATTTATTTGCTATAGAGTACCATGACAGATAAGAATCCACAATCAATTCAACCTGAAAGATAGATAGTCATTATAATACATACTCCTAAGAAGAAGTATGCTTTTCCATCTTGACTACCAAATCTTACTAATTCTAGGTCAGACTAGAAGAGATCAGGAGGCTTTTTGCCAGCAGTAGCTATCCAGAGGAAGCTGGCTCACCAAGCCGTTCCCTAACACGTGGACAAGCTAAGATCACACATATGTAACCTTGACTCTCGGGTTCTCTATGAGTGGATAGCATGCCCGACACATGACCTAACAGGATGACAAACTGTTGACATTAGAGCATTTTCTCTTTTGTTTTCCTCTTCCAGATTCGCATGGCCTTCTTTGCCCTACTTTCTGCCCCCAGAGGGTTCCTGTGCCCCCTGGCTGCTGGTTGAGTTCGACCAATGGGATGCCCCCAGCAGGAGAGAAGAGCAAAGGACAAGACTGATGTCAGGGTATTTTATTTTCGTGGGGCACATGTAGTGACCTCAGGTTGGCTTGTGCTCCTCAACTGAATGTCCCTGCTACTCTCAAGATGATCTGTTCCTTTAAATTATTTCCCATTCTGGTTCCGGGAACCAATTTCCTCTCATCTCTTCGGGTCTAGATTTATGATGACAAGTCGGCAGCAGCCTACAACAGCTTGTAGTTTCCAAAACCTGCTGGAGGTGCTTCATTCTATATGTGGGAAAATGAGGGTGGATTGATAAAATGGCAAGCATGAGTAGCATCCTCCACTTTGAACTGAGGGATAGACCAGCAGAAATGTGAATTAACATTACTTAATCTAAGACCGAGCTTACCAAGCTTTATTGAAGGCTGCATTCCAAGGTTGTTAGGGTGAAACGAGGCAAAATATGTTCATTATGGCCCTAAATTATTTAGGTTTTTTTTTCCAAATATTGCCCCACTGAATCTCTAAAAAACATACATTTTGACTTCCCCCTAGGTGGTCATTCGCCTTGCACCATCCTACTCCAAATGAAGAATCTCAGTTGCCCCATTGGCAGACGAGATCCTAAGCACTGTTAACTGATCTTTGAAAGCCCCAGAAAGAAAATTCCTGGTAGTGTTACTTCCACCAGAGAAATTTGCCAAGCCAGTTGTACATGCCTGCAGTCAATAAAAATGCTCCAAAGTGTTACTAGGCCAAGAAATAAACAATTTAAACCACCTAAAATAAGTGGTTTCCTAGCCTCAAGAGCCTCTGTGAAAGGTGAGCCCACAGAAGTACTTCAGATCTGCTTCCCTTCTGTTCATCAAGGGTGCGAGAGTGAATGCTTAGACTGGAGATTACAGAAGATGGGACTGGCTCTAAAGCCAAAGGCAGTCTGAGATTCCTCGCTACTTTCAACCAGGGCCAGATGGAGCCTAACAAGAGGTGACTTTTTAAAGGCGATACTTTCTTTTGAAGTAAAAGTGTTTTCTGGTTGATTTCCTCAGGGCCAGTAAAGTGCTTGCTATTGCCAGTTTATCACAAGCCACAACAGTAAACCAGATGTCAGATCTTTGTCATTCTCTGACACAATAATTCGACCCTTGCTTGGGCTCTAAGGAAGACTCCTCCTGATGCCTCAGTAGCAACAAAAGTAACACCTCACATTTATATAGTTCTCATTAAAATGTCATTCATCACACATCATTCCATCTGAGCCTCAGCAACCCTGATGTATTCAAACAGTGCAAGGATTAGTTTCCATTTACAGATGCAGAAGCCGAGCCTTACAAAGGTTACGTGACTATCCCAAGGTCACCGAACATGTTACTAAGTTCTTTTTCACTCAAAACCTAATCATCACCTTCTAGTCATGAAAATGCCTGTGTCAAAAAAATCAGAAATCTGTGTGGTGGAGACTCTTGGCACTACAGAGGTTTCTGCCGCATGAGAAGTTATAAGCTGCATGTTTTGGGAACCTCAGTTCCCAGTTATGGATGAGTGTTTTTCACAGCAACTGAGGTCCCTTTGAATTAGCCCTTGGGCACAAAGGACTTACAGTGAATTCACCGTACTTCAGGATACTCTTGTCTGGTCTAAGCCTCCGCAGCTAAAGAAAACCTTGTGAGTCTGGCCTGGTGCCCACCTCACTTGAGCTTCTTCAGGACTCTTGAATCCAGACAAGCTCCTGGAATTTGAATGCCCTAGTCGGCAAACTCTCCAGTGCTACTATTATTCAAGTAGGAACCAGTGTGTCTTGATTGTTATGTAAACCTAAGACTATGCAGATACCATCTATCCTCTATTATAGACAATGCAGAACGTACTCCTTGGAGAGGAAAATTTATTTAGTTCCAACAGGAAAGTTTGTCATTTTTCATTTACTTTAATATACACTTAAACACACAGAAAAGCAACTTGAGTTCACTAACTATAACCTCCATTGGTCATGTTTCACATGTAGTAGCTTTCCTTATTTGGCTCCCTTCAGCGGAAATTTAGACTGGGAATCAGATGAACAAACATCAAGCCAAGTGGGCCAAGCAGTATGTGCTTATTTATCAGATTAGAGAGGCAGGAAAGGTTAAAGACAGGTTGGAAAACATCTAGGCTAAAATAGGGCCCTACTTAGTTTATAGTAATCAATATAGCAGCAAGCCAGACTTTGAGATTACTAGGTTTGAATGTGTTCTTAAAGTTGACTGTGTACTTTCAGATATGCAACTGTTGCCCATCTTAAGGCCAGCAGCAGTACAGAAAACTGCCCCCCGCCCCCATGGAGTGCAAAGAGATAAGAGCCTAAAGCCGTTCTCAGAAACACATCCTTCTCCTGGTCTGAGAAAGCAGTATGTTTTTTCTGACCTCTCCAACCTAGCAGAAGCAGCCATGGGCACAAGACAATGTGCTATACAGCTTTTTTTCCTTGCAGCTATCAGTTTTACTTCATCTATTTTGAAGATCTGTTACTAGGTGCATAAATATTTATGATTGTTATGTCCTGTTGATGAAATGATCCCTTTATCGTTATGATAATGGTAATATGGTGAAGAAAATATTAATACTCTTTGCTCTGAAATCTACATTGATAGCAATAGAGCCATCCA